ATAACAATGCCACAGTGCAACAATTACTAATTTTCTTTGTAAAATAACATTAAATGAATTGCTCTAGTGCACTATTTGCACTTTTTGAATTGCAAAAGCGATATACTCTTACTTATTCACATAAAAACTGGGACTGTCGTCTGTGTGTGAAGCAGGTCTTGAAATAATTGAAAATTATTTACAGTATTTTACATAGACAATAGCAATAAATAGAATGTTTCTGTATATATATATACTAATGTCCATCTGTGTTCTCTATTCTCATCACACATTAATGAATGGCAATGAACGGAGTTAAAGGAGCCCAAGGGGTTAAACAAAATGTGCAGCCTTGATATTTTTAACACCTGTGAGACCATCTGTTTTGTATGTCTGTCTTTTTGCACTAGCACTTGCCTACCAGAGGTCACCCCCCACATTTCTGGCCTCATAGGCATCAAGCTTAGTGTGCACATAAGACACTCTCAACTACTGTACATTGACACAATCCTGCAATGCAATAAAGATAAAATTTAGATGTATCAATTAAAGTAGCACACTGATTGAAAAAAAGGAAACAAAGTGGGTTATTGCTTACTGTACATATAATGTCAGTTTATTTAACTGGGACCCAGGACCCAGACCCAAGTCTGGATTCAATTATGCTCTCAGGCAGACAAACAGCTTGAGTTCAGAAAAAACAGATACTTAGAATGTACAGCTTTGCAACACAGAAAACAGCATTAAAGAAATATTTTGTTTCATTTGTACAGTATAAAGACCTGCTCATTGTTGTATATTCTCCCTGGTGTATGTAATTAATCACTCTCTTCAGCTAACATGAGATTGTATTTACTTTCAATAATCATTATAGGGGTTAAAGGAGTCTCATGTGGCCCTCTTATAAAACGAAACAGTTTTGTAACATTTCTCCCTGGGTGATCAAATTGAAATTTAAATCCTGGTCACAAAGGTGAAATATTTGAATAATTAGACACCTACAGAATCTCAATCACAGCCCCATCATCAATGGAATGTGCAGCTCATTTATTCCCCATGGATACTTAATTCAATAACTGAAATAAATGTTTCCTAAACTGAGGAACAATTTAAACTTTTTTGCATATATTAATGTATTAATCTAGACCAGTAAAACCTGCTGGATTTGGGCATCCACAGAATTAAAAGGTGACTCATCCTTGATTGTCTTTTCTCATCATGTCTGTTTTATTTAATTATACTATCATTCATAGTGTTATACTATAATTTGACATTTTAGATTAATTCCCATTGGCCTAAAAAGTTATCCTCTTATTTGGAAGTAAGATACTAAAGGTTTTGCTGAA